CCCCCCATCCCAGACTGCCGGCCGTGGTGCCAGCTGGTGTCCCGTGGACACTGGGATGCTGCAGACTTTTCCTTTCGAAACAGCAAGTGGCTGAATGTCTTTTAGCTTAGATGCCTTTAAAAAAAAACCACATCTGCACAATTTTTTTCCCTGTGCTGCACGCTGGAGGACACTGCCACCAGGCAGCACGTCGCCTCGCGGCATCTCAGCACCCCGGCTCTGCCCCGTGTGCAGACCGGGCTCCAGGAAGGGGAAAGACACCCCAGTAACAGCGCGGCTCATTGCAGGAGACGGCGCAGAGTGGTCCTATTCCCCTGCGAGCAGCTGAAAACCTCAGCTCTGCATCCTGCCAGCGCACGGCTGCGATCCGGCTGGGAGCCTGCGCCAAGGATTTTATCGGAGGTGACATGGTTTCAGTAAAACGCAGCAGAAGGCAAAGCGTGCGCGAGCGGGAGGCAGGCGCTTCTCTCTGCCCGGAGCAGCGCCGGTTAACCCCGCCATACTGGGGCGCATGGATTTGCTGCTTGCGAGGCTTCATTTTTAAAATGCATTAGCAACTCGAGGTCACTTACAATAGCGCCTTTAATTAAAGCAGAGATCAATTTTTGTCAGCGCGCTCGCAGAGCACACTCTGTACTTTTCCTCCAGGAGACACGTTTGCGCCGAACGTTGCAGGGAGGGGGAAGTTCTCACAAAAAATGAAGCAACAGAACCATTTTGCAATGCCAGGGGCCAACAGCTGCTGGAAAACCAGATGTTGCCCTGCTGTTTTAGCATGTGCAAACACATGGTCCACGGTGCAGGGAGGGTAACACAAAGGGTTTCAGTACATAGGAATCTCTCCTGGGAATCTGCACAAACGAGGACAGCAATGGGCAGACATCTTTGGTAGTCGGTGCATTAGATCCTTGGTTTACGTGTCTGAGGTTGTGTGTGGATCCTGTGAGTACCTGATGGCTTTGCTTTGCTCTTGATCCTGAGAGTCAAGGATTCCTACTGTGACAGACTAATGCAAAATGCATTAGTGTTAACAGCAAGAAGGCAGGAGCCATTGGTTCCTAGGGTTTTAGAAGAAAAAGCAACTTGCACAATATTAATGGACAGCAAGTCGCATCATTGTGTCAACCCTCCACCTCTTCCAACAGCTCACAGAGGTCGTGCAAATCTGAAGTCAAATAACGCACTTTGCTCAGTAAACTGCACAAAGCAGGTCTCAAAATATCACAGAACCTACCAATGAACGTGGCCTCATCCATTTTTTCAATGTTTTAGCAGGAAGCAGCAGCAGCTTTACAGACCCGATCTGGCACAGCCTGGCACCGCTGGCTGTGCCTGGCAGCTGGCTAAGCTGCTAAAGGGTGGTCAGCAGAGCAGCGGACACCTCATCTCATCAGCATTCGCTGCTCAGCACTTCGCCATCGCGTTGCTGCTCCTCATGCGAATACAGAGCAGGGACTGCATAAGAGACTGGAGAGCAGGCTAGGCTGCGAAAATCCGAGGGTTTTATCTCTGATAAAACAACCAGTAAAGCTGCATAACCTGTTTAGTCAGGTGACAAAAAAGTGCTGCATCTTATTGGGGAGCAGGGAAAATGTTTACTGCAAGGACGTGGAACCGGCTGATTTTTTGAGTCCAAGTTCCTCCTCTGGTTGAATTGCAGCATTGCAGTCCCATTTGTTAATCACGTCCTCCTGTATGCTGCTCCTGTCCTCAGCTAACCCCATCGCTAATGGTATTCTGAACACCGCTCGCAACTGGGATGCATTATCCCAACATTTAGCTTTCTCTCACACCCCCACGACTGTCACGTAGCTGATGTCTAGTCTCATCATCCCCCTTTATCCCTGGAAGCGTGTTTGGGGGGGGGGGGAATTCGCAAGGAAGCACCTAGATGATGCTGCCTCTTTCATATTACCGTGCCTTTCCCCTGCCTCCCGGGGGTGTACGCCTGCTCGTGCTGCACTGCATCCCAAACTGGAGCCCCTGCGTCCCATGCTGCCACCCTGCCCCGCTGGCTCTGAGATGTGTTTGAGCCCAAGGCAAAGGGGCAAGAGGTCTCACCTTGCAGGAGGGGACTGCTCCCGCTGGACTGCCTGCCCTGGGCAAGGGTGACAGCACCTGCAGCTCCTCACCCCTCTGAGCAGCCTGGCAAGCACCTCCCCAGAGACCCTTGTCGCTATGCAGCTGATGGCTAAGGACTTGGTGCAGGATGCTCCTGGCTGCCTCTGCTCCCCACCGCTCACAGCACCTACAAGAAAATGGCTAGTGTGGAGCCTGTTTGTAGCTGAGGATGCAGGAAGAGGTTAGGAGCACAAACCTGCTCAGGGGAGATGTAACGCTAGTTGGGGAAGCAGAGAAGGGGACTGAGTTTGTTGGCGTGTGAACCGATAGGGGAAACTCCTGCCCAAGGAAGCGGTGCAGAAGCCCTGCTGCCACCACAAGGAGAGGCTAGGCAGGTGAACGCTACTTTCTGACATCTCCTCCTTACCACTGCCTGCTGAAGCCGCTTTGTATGAAGCGGGCAGAGTACAAACCACAACGTGAGATGCTCCAGTAGCCTGGCATACAAGAATGCCAACGCTCTCTTTTTTTCTTTTTAAATAGGCTAGATTCAGCATCAACGCAACGTTCATGGTCACAATGTGACAACTTCCTTTAACTGTTACTTGCTTAACTCTCCTAAGGATGCAATTCAGTTCTCACAGTCATCCCTCTTCCCTCAAATGCTCCCCTATTTCTTAGTGCTTTAGACTACTATACCACTCAATGCACCAGCTATTAAGATGTTTATGCATCTTATTCCTCCTAAGGACACCTAAATTGGCATTGTGGAGAATGATGATGGTGTCCAGAAGTTCAGCATTTCCATGCTGAAATTCCCTCCCTGTGACTTAGTTGTTTTAAGCACTCATCATGCAAACATAAAGCAACTATTTACACACACATAATAGTGGATGGCATTCATTTTGGAAGCAGTTAGTTCTCAGAACATCTGTGCTGCAGCCAGAGGTGCTGGTAGATGCTTAGTTCTTGGTAAACTAAAGGTTTACCAAGAGGTGCTTGGTAGATGTTTAGTGAGTGACACTAGGAAGTATTCCAAAATACTAAACTTCTCACACTGAAAAATCTGTGCTAGAAGTGACCAAAGTTTTTTGCTGAGTCCAGTTCTTGGACACGTTTGCTAGATCACTCCAGCCATTATTGGCATGACCCTATATAATGCCTCTGCGAAAACAGCCTTGGCACAAGAATTGGCAGAGAGCAAATTACCCTCATTCCTTGCATAAATTAGTTCCTTGCTTGTGATACTAAATTAGTAACCTCCAGGGAAAAGACAGCACACTGTCAGAGGAATATTTCCAATGAATCTTGAATTTCCACATTTCTAAAGTTCTCCCTGAGGGTTTAGGAGGACTCTTCAGGTAACTGGAATTAGAAGCCTTACGGGAATGGAAGATTTGAAATGGGCTGGAGTACAGGACTTGGGGAGGAATTCTGCTCAGCCAGATTAAAACCCCCCCAAAATAATTAATATATTCACGCTTAGCAACTCATTTGTTTTTCTAGAAATGTTCTCATGCTTAAATTATAAGCAAGCTCTGGCACTGCTGAGTGCTGTGATTTAATACCACCATAATTAAAGAGTTTGTTGTCATCCAAAGTCCTTATCGTGCCGAGAAAAAATCAGCTCAAGAACAGCAAAAATGTTTTTAAAAGTCAAAGACTGATTAGCGTGAATACTTGTCAGAATGTTTCTGGCGCGCTACCTCAAGTCTCCTGTCAGCTACCATCCACCCCTGTGCTCTTTCCCAAGCCAACCAGCCAGCCTCCTGGTCTTGTGCAGTAGGTTTGGGCAAGCACGGAACAGCAGGGCCCAAAATACTCATCCAGGCCTTCTTGACTAAGATAACCTGAGGTAAGATGGGAGAGGGTAACAGAAGTAATCTGGGAACGTTTAGGCACTCTGCAAGGGACAAGGGAAGTCAGGACACGCTAGGAAAGGTTTTGGCTCTGCTCTAGCTGCAACAAGTTCCACAGTGCTCAAACGCCCAATTTTGAAAATCTGCCATATATTGGGGTGGGGGGGATGACACAGGACACCCTATTCAAACATCACTCCTTAATATGTTCCTAAGTGTTTCTCTGGGATTACTGCTTTGAAAACAAATATCAAACTTAGGATGTTTGAATAGATCCTGCATTTTCCTTACTATGCCTCAGCCGTAAGAAACAATCATCTAAATCACTTAAAATGAATCAACAGGGCCAGCGACTCAATGAAACGACAACCGAAAGGCAGACTGCAGCACACAATTTCAACACCCTATTCCACAAAAAGGACTCCCATTTCTCCTGAGCAGGCATTTACATGCGGAAACACACATCTTCCTTGTAGCATTCTGGTATGGAGTTCAAAGCATCTTTCAGTTTATGTAAAATTTTCCAAGTGGACAAAGTGAATTTATTATGAAACTAAAGCAAGCATCAAGGATAGACTGTTTTCACATGTCAAGACAGACAACTATGAACTTTAAAACCTCCCTCTTCTGCTTTATTGACAGGTAAATTGTTCAAAAATGTTCTCACAATTCAATAATTACAAAGACTTAGACTTACATTAAAAAAGTAAAAACCAGAAAACCCCCAAAGCAGTAGTGTCCAGCTCTAACTGAGCCCCTTTATCAATAATCTGAGAAAAAGAGCAAGTACTGTCGAACACTTAACATAACAGGATTAAATGTTGACTAGAACACTCAGTTTAAACTAAAGATAAGTGCACGTCCTATACAGTGTTTCAGAAAAGAACATTAGCCACTGGTATATCATTAGCCCATTTAAACCAAATTTTAAATAAGTGACATCCAACTGTCATAAAATTGGCACAGAAGGCACACTAGTGTGACAATGACAAACTGGATATGCCAGCCACTGAATTAATTACAAGCTTTTAATGAAACATGGTCACAAATCTTTGATTACTAAATGTATAATACATGGAAGCATGAGATTAAATATACACGCAAAACATCACCACTGCACGTGGGCCATAGCAAAATATACAGGAGTGTGTTGTGCATTTTTCTACATGATCAATACTTGATTAATAATCATGGGGTCTTCATGCAGGTGAGGATACAATTAATGAAAAAAGCAGCACCCTCAGTTACACATCCTTCACATTCCACTTTGATAACCAGTAAAATAGACTGATGTTTTAGTGATACAGTCCCTTAGATCAAGCAGACTTCAAGGGCAATACGTCCACAAGAAGGTTTGCTAGCTAAACAATGTAGTGTGTCTTTACACCAAAAAACCCAGGAGAAAACTTCTCAGAAGGGGATACCAGGAACTATGAGTAACATTTTTTTCACAGCAGTAATTACCAGTATTTTAAAAGCCCTGACTAATGACTGTGATTGATGAGGACTAAAAAGCAGGGTATGGGTAAAAGATAAACTCGTAGCAGTCCTATGTACAAGACTGAAGTTGGTAGAAAGACAGACAGACAACTATGCAGCTGAATGTAATGGCTAAATGAATTAAAAGGCCACAAAACTATAACCAACTTTCATCCCACTTCCTGGTGATTCTGCTGATACTGGGAACAACCTATGCTTCCTAGCATTCTCCTCAAGGATTAGGAAACAAACAGTTATGGGAAAAAGTGAAAAACGTATTTATCTGAGGATGTAACTAGACCTGCTTGCATTTCCTATTCAGAGGTCTAAATTGTGTCTAAAAGGATTTCCTGCTAATGAGACATTACATCATTCTATAGAAAAATAATATTCCTGATATTGTAGCAACATTATCAGTATCTCTATTTGTTTTTCAGCATAAGAATAAGACTATTTACCGGTGGCCTTAAATGCTCCTATGCAATAAAACTGTGTCACAGCTGTGCAGAAAGGAACCAACCATAACTGAGCAGTGAACAATTCTGCATAAAAAGCTTGATCGCTATTTAGTAAAGATTTTTCTTCATTTCAATAGTTTGTATCTACAATCTGGATATATAATTATTCTTGTACAACACTAGCAATTCAGTGTCAGTCTTGGCACTAGCATCTGAGACAGCGTTGCCCTGCTCTTGAATACTCCATGGAGTAGCGGATGATCAAAGCCAGAACGGTGAGAGCTGTAGTGTTATGCGTCACAGGTTGATTGGTCCAGTCCATCTAGTGTAAGCTGATTCCTATGAGGAGAGTTGGGACTTGGGGGACCACTTGGGTTTGAGCTGTTGGATGGAGTAGAGTGTTTGGTGGAGTCTGAATCAGGCTGTTAATGAGAAACATTAAAAAAATTACATTTATTTAAAATCCACTCTTTACAGTCAAAAGCTTTTGAAGCATTGAAAGGCAAAATTAGGGAGCGCCACACACATGAGGTAGTGTGTATTAGATTCATTTCTAAGCTAAACAGTAATACAAAAACTTTCATTTTCTTAAATGGGGCTTAGTGCAGTCCTGAAGTTGACCTTTTGATGTAACATGAATTATGGCAAGGTATATGGAAATTGCCGAGTCCCAGTCTCTTCTCCTTTAGCTTTTGAAAAGCTTTCCTGATTGAATACATTTATCTATCCATTGTTGTTCATGATTTACCAGCTAGGCTATTTAAACAGCCAAGGAATTTGGCCGTATAATATGCAAACAATTACAGTTAAATCATGCTCAATTTGGTGAGAAGGGAGGAAGGAAACGAGCGTTTGAACTATTTACCAAACAGTGCCAGCAGCAAAGAAAAGTGTGTTAAGTGCACAACAAAAGAGTGAAGGTTGCTAGGTATCGGGCTGGAAATCTAGAAGTAAGAGGTACTTACCCTCCAGTCAGTATCTAATAAAGACAGTCTATCCACAGTTATTTCCCCAGTGTTAGACTGGTTGTTGGATACTTGCCTCCAAAGCCTGGTCCTACTTCAACAGGATGGCTGGCAAGTTTATCACTATTTTGGTCAGTTACAGCTCTGAGCACTACACAAATTCACAGCTAATGAAATACTTCACAGTAAAAATTTCTACCACTGCAGTAAGTTATTTTCAGGAGAGAGAATATATATTTAGCAAATAGACTGAAAAGTGACATCCTTGAAGAAAGCTGTTCACAAGGTTTTGCATGGCTCACACAACTACAAGACTGTCTATAACAAGATTATCCTAACACAATAAACAATCCAGCTCACGGGGCAATAAAACCACAACCCTTGGGAAAACTACTGTAAAACCAAAAGGTGATATCAGAGCTTTCTTTTAAAAGTTACAAACTATTATTTTTTAAATTTAAGAAGTTCTAAGAAATGTAAGGTCTACGAAAAAAAGAAAATGCTGTAAAAATTCTCAGTATCTACTACTACTTATGCCTACATAAGAACAATTGTAATACGGAACATAAGGAAATTTGGGAAGGATGCTTGCAGTATAAGGAAGCCAACTGAAACAGCCTGCCCTCAGTAGCTCTGAATATTCAAGACAGCTTAAAAAAATGCCTTTGTTTAGACATCCAGATTTTAACATGCTTCTTTTAATGGTTTGCTTAAGACGACAAAGGAAGTCAGTGGCATGGCTATGATCAGAACTCCAGATAAGCACTTGCCTTGGGGTGTACTAAGGCATCTTGCAAAGGTCCGGTTTCGGAAAGTACTGAGTACACCATTCACACGTGCCTGCAGCCAGGCACCAAAAAGCACTAAGAAAACGCAGAGATCTTGATCCAGGAGTTTGCCTCCCAGTCATACCTCCTAACATTCTGTTCAAGTACTGCCTGAGCAAAGCTTGCAAGAGGCTACACTCATGACTAAACAAGAAAACCCTCAAATCATACATTTGATCTCCTTAGACTCAGGAAGGGACTCCAGTTTTGTGCTGTCAGGAAGTTTTCAGGTTGGTGACAACTGGCACTTACTTATACACATGCAAAAAGTGGTTTTATGTATTTCAGAATGTCATTCCTTCTCAAATTACAAGACAAAAGTCTTCCGCAGGGCAGCACAGAAAGCTACTTAGCTAGTGGCATTACTTTGCTATTCTATGCTAACAGCCCAGAGAACATCTTTAGGAGCTTCAGGGATATTTCATCAGTTAGTTAGATTTCCCCTGTCTACAAAGTTTAATTTGAAACACAGTACCTCTTAAAATATCATCATAAAAAGATATTTTCACAGCTTCGCTTTAGTGCTGGCTTATCTAGTTTACAATCTGATGTTACATGCTGGGCAAAACATTTGCAGAAGGAAAACATCTCCATAAAGAATATGGTCTTTAGGAAGTATTTGCTCAGGTATTTAATTTATTAGAAAAAGAAAACAAATCTACAGTAACAGGATATTGTCAGTCTCCACTTCATAAAAGCTTCTTTACCTCTTTGTCAAACTCCTGGTCAGGATCGGACATACTTCGGGAAGGAATGGCTCCTCCCACATCACTGCCACCTGCAGAGAAAGAAGGAAAAGAGGCAGTTTTATACATCTTGTTGAGGCTGTAAATCCCAGCTGAGAAATCACAAGCTTGCTTTCAGCCTTACTTGATGAGGGCCAGGAAATATACGTTTTGTTTCTCTGCTGCTGCTGCTGCTGTCGTGAGAGGTTAGCTGTAGAGGGACATGGTTTTTCATCCTGGCCAGCAGGTAAAACACTCTACAGTAGAAATGGAACACCTCGTTAGCCAGCAACAAAAGCTGTCCAGTTAAGGCTTCTTTCCCATGAAAGCTCTACTGTGCTTTTGAAGCTATTACAACCCAGCATTGGTAGGAAAACTCAGAACTTACTTGACTACATCCACATATTTTCAGAAACAGACACAAACCCTGAGAAAGACAGAGAAAGAACTAAGCCCCATAGCAGTCACCGGACACTCCTCCCACCTGCTGGAGACAGAAGCCACCGAAATCTGTCAACCAGCAAACCCTCTACGAGGGGGCAGCGAGGGCACCAACAGCTCTGCTTTCCTGCTTCCTTCTGCTGAAAGGACAGGCACATTATCCTTATCTTGGCTAGCTGAGAAGGACAAGAAAAAAACTGGCTAGCAGCTATAAAGTGCAACGTACAGAACATAAAAGCGTACCTTTGACCTTACTCTCACGGACCTGACACTAAAGTAGCTCACAACATGCTGTATTTGTTACATCCAAAACAAAACAAAACGCTATAAAGCATTGCAACTTACATGCATGTTAGCAATCTTTTCCAAAGCATTAATATTTCCCCCTTCTGCTCTAGAACTGGCAAAACGCCACAGCACACCATCCCCATTCCTAACAGTTTGTAGCTACTCCTACCCTTGCTAGGGAAGCAGAGGAGGGACAGGAAGAGGAAGAAAGCAGAGGGGAGCCTTGCAGTGAGGAATGGTCACTCTGGAGAAAGATTTCAGCAGAGACAGGGCTCATGTGATAGACGTGCTCAAAGCCTGTTGGAGGTGATATCAGAGCAGAGTGTCGAGAGGATGAGGGGGAAGGAAATTCATTCTGTTATTTTAAGATGACAAACAAGAAAAAAGGAAGGAGGAAAGACTGATTATTCATAAAAGTACTAACAAACTCCTGGCAGTGGAATCTGTTTCTTTCAGTGTCCCGTTCCTAATTCAGCTAACGGCATTTCCTTGAGCAGGATTTATAAGCATCGTGCATCAGGAAGGTTCACTTTTCTCACAATGATTAGAAGAAGAATTTCGTACCGAGACAACAACGGTATATAGTTGTTGTTCTTCTTCTATACAGCTCTTCTTCACCGTTTTTCAGAGCAAGAACAAATGCACACACATCCCCCTCCCTTTCAAATGTATTTACCAGTGGAAGGTCCATGAGAACCTGCATTCCATCTCCTGGTCCCATATGAGCCACATGGTTGAAATTCGTTGGGTTAGAAATCATCTTTGACCTTAGCTCAGGGTCTCTAAGCATTTCCCTGGGGTGAGGAGGAGGAGGGAAAAAAAAAAAAGAAAAAAAGGAAGAGTGATTTTTATTATTTCTATTCTCAATCTCCGCATGTCACGCGTTAGTTGTGTAGAAAGATTAAATTCTTACCGCCTTTGCTGTAACCGCTCCTCCTCAGGAACCTTAAATACAAATCTTCTTTTGCTCCTAGTTCGAAGCATTTGCTTTTTGCTGTTGTCAGATGTTTCTGGTACACTGAGGACAGCTCCTGCTGTAACATCACAGTGCAATTTTATATACATAGGTACATGTTGATCCAGAAGTATCCAATACAAGTTTCATCTTGTGCGTAAGTAACACTGCTTAAAATTTTCAAGTCACCTTGGCATCCTTTTCCCATTTCTGCCTTGCTCAATACTCACCTGCAAACTTGTTCTTGAAATATATTAGTCTTGGTGGCTCACAGTTAAGGAGATTTAGTGTGCCATCCATGTTTAATGGCCTGATCTGTTTTGAAAAAGGAGCAGGCAAAGAATTAACTGAAGCCCAGCATACACTGCAAAAAAACTTCTCGTTTGAAATTAACCCCGTCAATTTCTACATTGGAAGATAACTACTTACCCTTCGCAGGCCAATAGTCTGGACCCATTCCATAGTGTTAACCTCAAATACATCAACACCATACTCGCTGTACACTGTTACATATGAAGAATTACAACCTGCATATTTTGAAAACAAACAGAAAACCATAATGACGTTTCAGAAGTCTGGAATTGACATACATTTGAGCAAATTTTAATAGTCACAGGTTTTCCACTACGTGTAAGATACGTTTAAAACCTCCAGTACCTGTCAAACTCCCTTTCAAACAGGTATTTTGGCAATAGATTTCCTACAACTGCCAGCATCACAGAAAGGTTTAGATTTGACCCTTTCAGTATTTCTAATTTCAAACGATGATTTCATTAAATCGTCAAAATGGCACCTGAAGTTTCCAAATGCAAACAAATTTGTTATGTGGTAGGAACTGGACAGCCTGTTTGAGGCTAGCTCTTCTAAAGATGCAGACTGCTGCACTTCGGAAGCAACAAAGTGCATCTGCTGTGCGCAGGGGAAAGGAGAGGGTAACCATCTGTGAGGGGGATCATGAAGTCATGCTGCAGAGCTATTTTAAATTTCCTTCCTCTTTGGCTAACAATTATCTAGCTTTAGATATTCATGGCGGGGTTGCTACCATCAAGTTAACAGAAAAGGGTCACCACACGTAAAGCCCAGAGCCTTCTTTCTCTTTTAAACTGCTTTTTTCTTTCCTTAAAATAAAAGGTGTAAACAAATACCTTTATTTTAGCTTAAAAGAAAAGCAAAGCAAAGACCATTACCACTTCATACCAACACGCTTTTCCTCATGTAAAGACCACGTCCTGATGTAAAAAAGTTACTAGAAGTTTACGGACTTAATAGAGGAAAGAAACTCAGCCGAGTGAACGGCTTCAATAAACAGAAGGAGAAAAACAAAACAGTAGAACACTTATCACAGAATCGCCTTTCAAGGACTGAAGTAAGGTTTCGGTGGCGTGCTTTTAAAGTCCCTCAAAGACAGCCCGGGATAGCTATCACGAACGCGCATCCCAGAAGTGACTTTGGGTTAGCTGTGCGTTATATGGGGTCACAGTTGGCTTGGATGTCCAGACAAAGGCAGGCCATGGAGCATCAGACAGAGACACCAAACGCTTCTGTGTGGCCAGCCCAAAGGCAAGACCAGCACTTACCAAGTTAGAGCTGATGAGCTCGATCAAATTTGAACCGGTTCCCAGAGAAACACATCAACGCCTGTCTGTACTGGGCTTGCCCACACTCCAGCTTTGAGATCTGCGCTGCCTCCACGTATGTGCACTGCGCTGTACCCCAATTAACAGTCCTACAACGCCTAACCTGGTTCAGCACAGCTTCAACATGTTAACCATGGTGTAACTGCAGTTGAGACAGACTGCTCAGGATAACACAGTAGACTATTAAAACAGACCTCAGCCTCTCCTCACATGAGGTGACCAAATACCCTACAAACAAGTGTCTCCACCATATCCTAAGATCTCTCAACAACACGGTCCTTTACTACAGCAGAAACTGCAACAAGGAGAGAACTATGTCTACTTGGATGACCACCTGATGGGACAGTTAACAGGAAGGGAGGAAAAAGTCATGTTCCATAGTGACAGACACCAGAACCGAGGAAGGAGGACAAGGCTAATGAAAAGGGGAAGTAATCAAATTTCCTTTGGCAGTAGACTTCGCTGCTATCACTACAAAAAAAGCCCAGTCCAATGCCACTCAGGACTGCGTATGCAAGAACGGCATTAAATATTTTACGGTAATAACGGATCATAGTAACAACAGACAAAACAATCAACTAACATCTCTAGTTTGCCGAAATATAAAACCTGTACAGCTAATTAAGGAAAAGGAAACATTAGCTTTGACTAACAGTGTTTTAAAGTAAATTTGTGACTACTTTTTTTCCCCTTTCACCTTTGCTTCAAACTCCTGTAAAGAACTAGGTGAAGTAAAGCAAGCAAACAATTTCAGTTCAAGACAATTAAAATTAAACAAACTATTATCAGGGCCTGGCCTGATTAAACCTATGAGCACCTATCTAGCTGCTCAGTGTACTGTTTAAACACAGGATATTTCTTGCCTTCAGTCACCCCAAACACTTTTAACTGCTATTTGAGCTCCAAACAGAAAACGAGCTTTTACCTTGAACTGCCTTTGACTACTCAACCTGAAAAGAATCCCCCCACGTGCTTCTGTCCTAACTAGCTGATAAATCTATGTTCCTGAGAAGAGTAAGCAGCTGAAAGTTACCTTCCCCGCCTTCATTATTTTTGGCAAAATCTCTCCCTAAAAATAAAATAAAGAGGAACAAATTGCAATCGGTTCTTCAAAAAGCATTATTTTTACCTCTTATTTTGTTAACTTTGTGAACCTTTTGAGTCACAGTTACATTTGATCTTCAGCTATTTTACTTTGAATACAGGACACAGAAGACATCCTGAAGACAGCTATACTTTTATACTCTGCAGGAGAGCAAAAATCTTTACAGAATTTTACAGAACCAGTAGTCTTGTCCTGTCCTGCATCTAGGGCTACTCTCTGTAAAGAGATTTTGCGTTACATTATTAATTTTTCTGTGTCCCGTAACCAGACAGAGCTTCTTTTCTTGAGACTTCCAGGATCTCTCTTCCACAAGAGACTGCCAAGTCCAAAACCGCCACCAGGAAGAACTACATAGCCTGTCCACTCCTCAAAACCTAAACTGTAGATATCGAAAGACAAACCAAAGCAAAAATAGAATACATGCCGATTATTTTTTAGACAAGTAAAGCAGCAACAGGGATATGGCAACAGAAAAACATATACATACTACAGGCAACAGGAGTTGCAGGCCACATTAGTTCCTGCATGCGTGACCTTCGACCTTGTGAATCGACGTATATTCCCATATGGCTGAAGCAAAGCAGGTATTCCTCATTACTGAGCTCCACAGCACAAAGGGCATCAAAAGACTGCTGTGAGAGGAACATAAGCGAGGGGTCATTAGGATTTACCAGGTTTATAGATTGTCCATCTCCCTGGATGTTCAACAGAGAGAACCCAGACTGGTAGCCAACACAAAGCTTGTCCTTGAACACTGTCATCCACTGTACAGTCCCTGGAGCCTGAATTTCGCTGAATTTTTTGTGGAAAGGTTTAGTTCTGTGAATTTCGTAGCAAAAAACCTGTCGCTTCACAGCCACAAACAAACAAGTTGAAGAACTTTTCTTCAGCGTTCCAGTTGTAATCAGTTGGCAACCTTTAGTTTCTGCAAGCTTTATGTCAAAGCTTCCTTCCGATCCGTCCAGAGAGGCCCAGGGGTAGAGGTGAACATGGTGATTCCGACCACAGATGAGGATGATAATTTTCTCTTTGGGAGCAAGCTCGATCTGGTACACCTTCTTACAGTCAGCAGCTCGGACTATCACTGCAAACAGAACAAGAGCTTCCGTAAGTTAAACGATAAAACTATCAGACCATGATACACTGCAGCATTACAAACTGGTGGCAGAAAACGAAGCTAAGCACGGATGCATACCCAGTAAGAAAGAGCACTTACTACACACATCCTGGATGCTCCTTTATGAATTATCAGAACATACACATGAAAAAAAACCAACAAAATAAAAACAAAATATGCCTACAACTCATTCATTGATACAAAGTCTCAGCAACATTATGGAGGAAAAGGCTGCTTAAGCTTTAGGGTAAAGGAAGAAAAAATTATACAGTGTATTGATATGCTACAGATGATAACGTGCAAGATTAACTTCTGAAAATGGTCCCACATTCAGGAAAAACGTTGGTATCTTTAATAAATTATGGCAGAAGATAGAATTGGGAGAACAAAAAGAGGAGAAATAAAAAGTATTTAAGTCTGAGAACCGAAGACGCAATGCGCTGTACCGTTAGAAACCCAATACAAAAGGCAGTGCAATCAGTGGATTTTAAATACCTGAAGGGAAAGGCAAAAAAATGCTACATGTCCTGGAGCAATGACAAGTAGTAATGGGCTTATTAAGGTGTAACCAGGGAGAGTTAGCACAGACACTAAGAAAAGCCTTATAGTAAAGACAAGTTAGGTCACCTATGGAAACCGGAGAATTCACTATTTGAAGTTTTTTTTTTCCAAGAATGGGTTAGGTGCATCTAACAGGGTTAGGTATATCTTTTTCTGCCTATGGGATAATGGCTATATTAGCACTTCTAAGAGGGCAGCATTTCAAGTGGTACAAATAGAAAAGACTGAACAATTCTGAAACAGGAAACAAAGCATAATATACATAAGCCAGTTATATTAAACTATCACATTCCTTTTTCTGTTGGCTGAATGCATTCAAACTATTTGTCAATCATAATCAAAACAAGAAATATTAACTGGAAATTATATGCATTTTTTTCAGTAATGGTTGAGTAACCTAGCTAAGGTATCAAAATCTGTAGACCTGCTCTAAGAACTTAGCTGTTTAGATCACAAAATCAAGTGTGTTCGTGGATTTTCCACCATTCTCAAACACTTATTGAAACAGATGATGTGTCTGAAGATATTTTCTACAAAATAATCAACAGTTTTACTTCACCACAGAGAAGTTAGTTTTCTCCCGAGTTCCAATTTCAGTGCACAGTTTAGTCTATTCATCAAGAACCAGCTGATACTCTGACCAAAGACCCTTGATATAAGCATCTGGCAGTTAATTAACACTGAAAATAACAACTGCCATACAACAGAGACTACTATTTATAAAAATGCTATTAAAACACAGGAACCAGCCATAGAAAACCTGGGACAAACAATTTTTAACTTAAAACTGAAGCTGACAACTTGTCTTCACTTTTACATGTGATACAGTGATGCAGATAACTGCTTCCTTCTAAAATGAGCTTTCAAATTAGATGCATAATTCAATTCACGTAAAAAGCTGTACAGGAATCTCTCTGGAATTTCTTGTATCTAAAGCTATGTTTATACCTAAGTACTTGCAGAATGGTGACCACTGGAAGTTTATCCAAAGGAATGGCATTTATTACTGCTCAGAAAGATTTTCAAATATCTGATGTCTCCATGTATAAACCAGTTTCACCTGGAATTGGATAATAGCTTATTTTAAGCAAAAGGAAGCAATAACATTTTGCTTTTCACCTCAAAGTCACATTTCTGACTTTTTTTTTAAACTTCATTTTTACTTTGTATGTCCAGTAAGTTTTTAAAAACTGTATTCACCACCGCACTTTACATTGAAAAATAAGTTTTGGCATGACTGCAATCTAAATTTTAAGTAACTACACATTAAATTGCCTTGTAAAAGGAAATTTACATACTTCCACCAAATCCAAATTTAAGGACATATCATTTTTGAACTCTGAATTACAATGATTAAAAGCAGACATTGAAGGGGTTTTTCAGGAGACTGTCAAAGTAATTTATCCAAAGTTGGCAAAGTGACCCAGGCATCTATTAATTTTACAAATCTGTACCACTGACCTCAACATCCCTAAAGCCCAGATGGTTAAAAGACAACAGAAGAACCTAAGCTTAGAGGCTATGAATACAGGTGAAGAAAACACGAAGTATTTTGCTAGAAACAAACTTATTAGCTAGCAAAGGCTGTTAGCTCTTACGCCATAAAGAGTAGGATTTAGTGTCCTCTAAATTTAGAGCAGCTCAGGAATTACAAGAAAGCACAGATTTCACAAGGTATCTTTGGCTACCTTTGGCAAAAAGAGAGGCAACACTAGTATTTCCTAATGGTAACTTAGGAAAGGATAGCAGAAAAGCAGACTAATTTTTTTTATCTGCATCACTTCTTAGAAATACATTACTTCTATAAATTCAGTTTCACTCAACTAGTCTGTTCACTCTTTAGTGAAGAAAGATGCTACTTAAGAGTATCTTATTTTGCTACAGAAGCGGATTGCAAAATTAACTAGACTTGTTTTTTTGCTTTTCTTTGCTTAAGATTGCATTTTGTTGGAATCAATTGTCACAAGAACATCACCATGTTCATTTGTTAGTCGTCCTCTTAGCCTCCGTGGGGTGCTTTCCCCACCATACCAAGGCATGTCTCCCACTGCTATTTGTATTTACACTTGGTATATCATGCCAAAGGGCAAAACGCTTCCCTTATCCCCCACGATGGGTGATAACGCAATCCAACAGTGATAGATATGCCTGCTGTGATCACCTCCCTGTGGCACCTGGAGCACATTCTGTGTGAATTTCTGCAATGGACACAGTAAGTCTTCAGAAAAAAAACAGTCTAAAGCAATCCCACTCCTCCCAAAGCAGAGGGCAGCATGTATTAAAAATAAGGAAAAGAGCAAGCTGAGGAGAAAACACAGGACAGGGAAGGAGAGAGATAAAGGAAAGGCAAGCAAGCCAATATTAAGGGCTCATGACCTCTTGCTCTAGATATCAAGTCTGAAACAGAGTGCAAGTGGCTGTCAAACTTCTAACAGCTGGGAGAAACAGATGACAATACCAAGCAGCTTTAACCGAAAGTCTTACAATCTTGTGTTCTGTGCTATCCACCTAACTTCTAATTCATGCTGGTTTAAGTCCTCTGATAGTGCAGGCTGGTACAAGTAGGTTTCCATGTCAAAGTACCACCAGTTTTCTCACTCAATTCAAATTCTGTTTATTAAGTGCCTGACTATTCACTGAGCATCAACTGCTGCAGTGTGTGCTCTGAGTACTGAAGCATTTTGCTCTATGCTGTGGAAACACAGTTAAGATGAGAATGTGTCAAATTTGCCCTGTAACTTGGCCTTTTAATTTCAGTCAACTGAATATCGTGATAATGACCAAATTAGTGTTTATATCTCACATTCACTTTTCCCTCTCATCAATTGAGTGCTTAGTACGCACTATACATGAAGGGCTGTTGTATCACCTATATTCAAACAGCACTAAAAGTTACAGTGCTCATTATCCAGTATGTAATTACTGCATACATTATGCCCTAACTTACCGTCACGGGTCACCTCTATCACATACAGTCCTTCTTCTGAACCAATTGCTATTCTATCTCGATCTAAACAAGGAAGGAGAAAAAAAAAACTATTAATTCAGTCGTGTTTAATGTTACCTTTAAAACAAACCATTTCCTTTGAACAGGTAGAAAATTTCTGGACAAAAAAGGTAATCGAACAGAAAATCAGTTTTGCTTAAGTTTATGCAGTCTACCTTTCAAAAGCGTGCTATATAGAATATATACTGTTTTGCTAAAACAATCTGTTAATTAACTAAACTATTTATTACGAGTGGATGAAGAAACTTGAGTGTTAACGCACAATTGGCAATTTCTCCACTATTAAATTCATATGAGGGTATTTAACCCTAAGAAAGTTATTTCAAGGCATCAGTGCTTTCAATACAGATGCCCACCTAAAAGCTCCAGCAATTCACATGTACTTCATGAAAGTTAAAATAAACATACCTACAATAGCAGCAGCTAAACTTGCTTTAATAAGAGGCAGCGTACTGTCATAGGCTTCTTGTGGAATATGCACAACCTGGTTTTTCAGCCTGTTTTTGTGCAGGATAGATTGCAACCCTTCTAGAATTCCAACCCACTTTCTCTTTTCATTCTCATTTTCTGTCAGGATCAGCAGAGAACAAGACTTGGAAGGCAAACCTAAGAGAGAAGCTGTCACCTTTTAACAGAGAGAAAGCAAAATTAATATCTAGTGACAAAAGTCTACTGTCATCAATACGATATGCTTTACAGAGCTGTTGAAAGTAAAGTGCACTTTTTTTAAACAATGTTGTAACGCACATAAATGGTATGAAACACAGCACACACCTAATATGGCCACAGTACTTGGAAAAAATGCACAAGCTTCAGTGTTTTCGTTTAAAAATATTCAGTCTTGCTTAATCGTTCTGAATCCTAAAATATGGGTAAGGAATGCTACATTCCTTTCCTACAATTACCATTTTAATACATGCCAGTAGAAGGCTACTTCCTGCTCTCAATTAGAATTTTAGTAGCATGCAATAATTTGTCCTGAACTCTCTCTGTCATAATTTTTAATAACTTACTGAAAATGAAATACATGCTTTCTGAGTCAGATGCATTTAAATGTAACCATACTGCTACAACCTGTTCTAGACTTTGATTTTGCTGCTTAGTTCTCAAAATACATGTCCAGAGAGAAGAGCAATTCATATCTGCGTTAAAAGCTTGGGAGGAAAACAACCTTTTGAGAGTGAATTATTCCATTCTTCGAGCCCTTTCCTAAGTCAAAACCACAATCGCTTCATCTAATTTTCAGGGAAATCATCCAGTAGATCTCTAAGCCAGATGCATTCAGAATAGGAAAAGTATCCAGGAACTATCTGTTGGTCACCGTGTGTGCTCATTAATTCTCAAAATTAATTTGTGTCCTGTGTGAAGACATCATGGAAACTGCTTTCAGGCACAAACAAACAGGACATCAACCAGTATCAGGCCTCAAAACAGATTTTTAAAACAACAGCAGTTAATCAGAAAAAAAGCAGCAGTGCAAAACTGAAGGCTATAACTATTCATGCACGGAATAAAACACCTTCAGCCTACATGCCTGCATAAGTAAAAATCCCTATAAACATGGATGACATGGTTAGGGAACATACACTTCCTGCCAGAGCAAATTAAGCAAGACCATTCACCTTAAAGAAAAAAATCTGCAAATAACTGGGATAATGGGATGTGAAAGACAGAAATCCAGAAGACAGACAGAAGTAGCGCAGTAGAAAAAGCATTGACAGGCTTGCACTTGTTCGTAGCTTGTATTACTCTGCAAACTTTGTACATGTGCTGAACTGTAACTGAATATCAACATTTTAAAGATGGCTGTAGGCAAAATGGACAATACTTCTACACTTGGGAAAAAAAAGAAAAAAGAAAAAGACTTCAGCTACAGCTTTCTCTTAAGTACTGCCACGTAATACTCCCCAATCTTCTCACAGTGGCATCTTTTAGGCAGTCCAATCTGAAAAATGGGAGAAGAAGGTCGCAATATACATAGGCATTACTCATCATGCAAAAATCTAGTATTTGTTATGAAACTCAAGTCTTTTCAACTCAAGCTGCTAACTTACGGAAGGACCTCAACTAGAGACACCAACTATTACATAAGTAAAAAATTTATCTATGGAGGCACTTAGACTGCACAGTGTCTGGATGTTAGGACAGCCTAACATCTAGCTTTAACAATTGGTTACCAAGTAGAGATGTTGGAGTTTGAGACACGTTCGTTCTTTTCTTGATTTCATGGAGGGTCAGAGGTGGCAATATCTTAGTGTTTGGCAACATTCTGGTGTTGGCTTTCGATAGCAGAAGATCCAAAACAATGAAGATCTGTCTTTGGTGGGCCAAAGGATCATGTCTTTTATACAGATGATTTAAACTGTTCTTAACTGTTGGGTATATGTTATTCTATGACATTATGTCAGTGAGACACAAACTTAGGAGACATGATGTTCAGAGTGAATTAAATTTAATTAAGAAAATAGATTCTCTTGCATCAGATGTCACTGGTTTCCAGTTGTAGGAATTCCTTCTTTAGAAGAGGACATAAAACTGAGAAAAGAGATACACCATTAGCAGTATCTTCTCTGGTGCCTGTCAACAGGGCATCTAAACAGATGAGATTACACACCAGGTCCTTAGTTAATTCAAATATCCTTAGTGTGGGTTAATCTGATCAAACTGTGGAGACATTTATCATGTCCATTCACACAAGTATTTTTATATGAAGGCTGTTTGACTGAAGTTTCTTTCTTAGCGAGATGCCCTTTGCCCTTTCAGCTAAAAAGGGCAGGCAGAAACGAGAGCACCAAGTCAGGCAGGCTATACTGTATGGATGCCTTAATCTTAAAACAAATCAACCACCAGTCTGCATAGCCCATCTTCTGTCCTCAGAAGTCCTTTCCTTATAGCATGCAATATTCACTAATTTGAGAAGCAGGCAGGCAGATGTGAATAAAAAAATACTTTTAGAAACCAGTAAGAAGAAAAAGGAAATAGAAGCAGTAGTAAACTGAAAGGATGAAAATCCACTGCAGAAAATATTCCCACAAAATAGCTAGCAAAGCCACAGAAGCATCAAGTAGCCAAGACATTTCCTTACAAAAACCCTAAAGGACCAAATGACTGAGGGATCAGAGATGCAGCTGAAAACAGTGAGAGTTTCTGTACTCAAATGTAAGGGATTATAGTTATTGGTTATCAATGTACTTTTTAATATTTTTAAAATTACAGCTTAAAAATAATTCACTTAAAACCTAGAAAAGAAGTGCCTGTTGTTTAAAACCGAAGAGTAGAGCATTTAGATAGAACACACACTAAGGACGAGCTTATAACTGAGGTAATTATTTTCTCTCATTTGTAATATTTCTCTAGTATATTTAATATTAAATGAAGGGAACTGAAATTTCAAGTTTCTTTTTTTAATACAAGACAATACACGGCAAGTTAAAGCCAGAAAGCACAATCTGGGTTACAGTATTAGTCCCCAAAGCTAAGTCCTCTAAAACCAAAACAAAATCCAGGACCCAGTAATCCTTGCGGAAGAGGGGACAAGACTATACTAATGCAACTGAATTTTAACAAAATGGAGAGGGAGAAAAAGAGAAAGCAGTCAAGTGTTATATACAACAAAGCAGACAAAGAAGGTGAACTTTGTTCTTTAAAACTCTGAGTACTGTATCGTTGTTCTACACATTTCAGCACCCCTTATAAATTCTAATACCTCTGCAATGAGAACAGATGAGGTGTGCTTAATACAATAAACATTATACATGGATAACATACTTCATAATGAAAGCAGAACACTGGTATTTAACTTGTATTTTCTTTAAGAATGAATTGATAGCCATACCCTGAATATACAAGGAACATCTTTACGAGTTGCATGTATTACATCTGATGCCAGGACCGAGCTCACACAAAAATCTTCATCTCTAGCAAGAAAGAGAACAACAGAATTATATACACGCGCACACAAAAAAAATTAAACAAAAATCTAATTGATATCGCAACTGCTTCAACAGGCTGCAACCTCGTAACACTGCACAGAGGTCACAACTGGGATCACTGCTTTGTTATACTAGGAACTGTTCTTGACCCAAAGAGCTCAAGCTTTAGTTATGATTCTACAACATTCAGTACATGTAACTCAGTCCACCTGAAGTCAAGTGGGCTGCCTTTGTGTAGTTTTTGGTTTGTTGACCACACGTATTCTACAATTAGCAGCAAGAAAATTGCTCTTCCAGCCCAGCAGACACATTAGAAATGAATAATTCATACCTCGATGTGTAGCAAGAAAGGGGCCTTTGGAAAAAAAGACAAATCACATAAAAAGCTGTTGGCAACGGAATTATAGTTTGTGGGATTCAAATAAGGGTTTTCAAAATGGCTAGATTTTATTCTCTATTACAGTAGAATAAACAGGCATCAGAATAACTTTTGCATTTCACAGTGCTCCACCCCAGAGGGCTTGTCTACACAAGCCTTTTTAACTGCATTTGACCAAGCTGATCACCATAATTGTCAATTTTAGTGCAAAGATGACAGTAATGCCTAAAACTTGCCCGCACTAGAATTCATAGCTGTTGTGGTTAACGTCTATTAAAACATCTAAGAATCCTCAGAAAACAGACTCAAAGAGGCAGCTACAGTCAGCAGATAAAGCGTGGGACAGTTAGCATAATATCTGGCCGAGTTGCTTTACTGATATGAACACTGTTATTTTCAATACATCCATATTTCTGTTTTTGCTGCCAGCACGTCAAAGAGAACCATCAGTGTCAGCTCTCAGAGAATAACTGGGAACAGAGCAGCAGTATTGTTGCAACCCCATGGCAATAGTGTTCAGAAGAAATATAAATCAAGGTGCTTGTAAATGCAAACTTTATATTGAACAGAGACAGAAGATTTTGTAACATTATCAGGTATTACACTTCTTGACATTTCAGTAAATTGGAAGAAAAATTCTTGGTTACTCTGATGAATATGAGTATTGGACTTTTGTAGAGAGTCTTCAGTGCTAAGGTTCAGTATGAAAAAGTGACTTCCCTGAGGAAAGAGGGTCAGAGTCACACTGCAAATTAGTTGGTGCTTTCCTGAAGACTACCTACTTTCTTGTAATGTTCTTGAAATTACTGGCTATGGTGTGATGTGCGACTCACTGTTTTGCTCAGAGCGCAGGGGGAAGATCAGTCTTCCAAAGTTTCTCTCTTTTCCATGTGGGCATATGGAATTCTAGGAAGGAGCGTGCTAATACTATAATCACTTTCACTGAAGTGACTTATTTCTGTGCCAATTCTTTCAGCCTCAACTTAGTTGAAGTCCATATTCAGAACGCACAAGTCTTCTCAGAACAGAGCTCTTAAGATCCAAAAGTTGCTTGTGTGACCATGAATAAACATTCTTGTTAAATAAAAAGTACAGAGGATTTCTACTCTATCATAACAATACGAACCTGAGATCCAAGACCTGACTTGCAACAACTCCAGGCTGGGTGGATTTTCCTTCAGGCACGTCATATAAGAAGAGTTTACAGTCACAAACAACTGCATAAGCTCTCTGCCACCCTTTCTTAACGCCTGTAGGCTTTGGAACCTGTGGGTAAATAACTGATTGCTTATTATATGTAAACACACATAGCAGACACAGAAAGCGGGGACGTTTAGAAAAGCTCATATTTAGATTAATGGAATTAGAATACATTTTACTTGCCCTTCAAAACTAAGTGGGGAGGTGGGGGAAAATAAATAAATAAATAAATCAAGAAACCAAGCAGTTGTTTTTCCTCCCTTAAGTTCATCTGTTCTGTTTCAGTTTAATAAATAAAGTTTTATTATGATAAACAGTTTGGTCTATATAGTCCACAAACGCTAAAATAGTAGGACAGTTTACCTTTTCTATTACGTTTATATCAACTACGATAGAAATTCCTCCTTAAAGCAAGTTTTTTCTGGTGCTTGTGGACATTTCACCAATACCAAGTCTTTGACTCTTCTAGTAAAACCTACTGCTTCTTGCACATCTAAAGTGACAAGTGCTAAACACGTTACACAGACGGCACAAAAGCCTTAAGGCTTTAGCACAAGTTTATGAGATGCTGAAACATACTGACAGCTTCCAAACTGTGTAACTGTACGTGAAGTTTAGCGTTATTTTCTTGTCCAAGAGCAAAAGACTATTACCTTGACATAACCTTTATAGGCAGTTCCTATTCCTCTTTGCACATCTACTCCAAGAGGCCTTTTGGCTTGCTCAGGGGGTATAGGACAGACTTGAGGAGCACTATCCTTGCAGGAAACATGGCATGCAAATGAACACACTAAATATAAAAGAGAAAATCCACTGTGAAATGCATATATGACTCAATCACAACAGGAAATTAATGTACTCTCAAAAGCGGCACATTAATTAATTATGCTGAAATCGCTGGTCAGATTTTTTAACAGCCCACTACGCTAAAGGAATGCACACACCTATATATCACACGAGATAGCCGGGGAGGGGGTAGCCCAGAGCAGACTGCCTGGCTTGTTCTTGCAGCCACGGTCTGCTCCCAGCAGGAGAACTGGGAGTTAAACACAAAGCACTGTAGGTGCTCCCCACAACCACATAATAAATTCACCTCTTTCAGGAGGCATCCTAATTATTGGGACTGTGCAAATCAAGACACACAGGTCACAGAACAGGGAAAAGCCACAGCATATAGCCAGTTCCACAGGCCTCCAGAAACGCAGGCTGGGCACCACTCTATTTTATTGTAGTCACCAGTACTAAGAAGAGAAGGAAGTGGGGAAAATGAGTGATTGGGAGTGGAACACGATGAAAGTTTTGTTCTGCTGGAGTCATCTCTGTTCTTAAGTCAATGTGACTCTAATTTGTTCTGTAGCTATCAAAATCTGGATTAGAAAGGCAAATGGGAAAATTCACGATGCAGTACTTAATCAAAAAACATAAGTAAAGAAGATTCAAGTTCAGAGGTGAGCTAAGGCAAAAAAGACCGTTTCAAACTTGCAGGAAAAGACGCAAAACAAAGTTCAGGACTGTCAGCAACACGAGACAAAATGGAGCCCCAGGGCAAGCGCAGGCAGAGCAGTAAGTGCTCCAGGGCATAACCCCACCAGGAACACAGCCCTGAAGGGCAGAAGATGCAATCCGGACATGATGTTGATGGTGTCAGTGAAGAGGGTGCTACTAGCAAGAACTAAGCTGGGCACAGAGATACAAGAAGATTACTTATACCGTAGCATTTTGAATAGATTTGTGGAATACTTCTGAGATCATGCATCTAATCAAGGCACGGGTAAGTATTTTTAAAGCAAAATATCTCCACATACTCTTACTTGCAGTTCAGTAGTGACACATGCATCAGAGAAATCCTTTTAAATAAAACTAACAGACAGGAAGGCAGGCTAAAAGCTAAACAACTTAGCAAACGCTCTCCCCAGTGCAAAGAGTTCACAATCAGGTTAGCAACAAATACACAGCTTCAGACTGATATGTTACCAGAGCTTTCCCTGCAGTCTCTTAGGCACCATTAGACACATAGAAACCCGCCCCTCCTCAGCTCTGACTGTTATCACACTAATGGTAGTAGAATCAGTGGTATGAAAGGACCATGAGAGCTTAAATTCATGCGTTCACTTTAAAAGTCTGATGATGCAAAAGAAAGGAGAACCATTCAGTGGTAGCCACCTTCCCTATTTTCCTGACCAAAGAAATGATTGCCTTAAAATATATTAATGTTTTGGGGCATTTTTTAGGGGGAACTGCAGACTGCTGAAAACAAAAAAGTTAACGGACTCACCGTCACAGGCATAACCTTGTCGAACTAATCCCACCATAAGAGAGGTGCAATGACTACACTGAGTAGGGCTTGTAAATGACTTGATATTGAGCTGGTGAGCTTTAGGCTGAAAAACACGTTCAGGATAAAAACAAAACAAAAATTTTTCAGTTTCTTATTTAGGTAATAGAAGCACCTCCCCCTCAATGTCCCTCTAATATATTAGAGTGTACATTATGAAATCTGGGCTTCTTTTAATTAATTGCAGCTTGTAGAAAGCACTGCAAGACAAAAGTAACATCTTTTATTTCCATTTGCAGAAGACACTCAAATCCAAACATACCACCAAATATTTTTTCTGCTGATCCTTCTGACAAATCAACACCCATCAAAACTTGCATTTGGGAATATCTGATTAAAAACACACACCTAACAAACAAGCAACACGTGACAAACCCAAACAGGACAAGAACAAACATGGATGGCTAATCTATAAATGATAGTATCTTTCCTTAGATCTTCAAAATAAGGTTAGCACAGTCCCCCTACCTTTGGTACAGCTAGAGAAATGGACTGAATGGTGGGGGAAGGAGCAGCAGGCATCCTCTGAAGCCGAATTGGTTCCTGAATCACAAAAAACTGTAATTGAGCAAAACGAGGCTTCAAGAATTTGTTTTATAATTGGGGTGGCAAAGCTTATCGGTTCCCAACTCCCCTTTTTCTTTTTTGAAAATTATTAAAAATTTAACTGTAAACATTGCCGTTCTGATTTAATTTGATTAAAAAAAAAAAAGAGATGGTATTTTAAAGCACTCACAGGAAAGCCTGCACACTAACAGACAAGCAGCAATACAGAAAACGTAGGAAAATGAGAAACATCAACATACACAGAGCCAGGGAAAAGGTTTCGTTTGCAACTGTCCTCAAAAGCAGGTGCAATTAACACTGACACATTACAAATAAGCAACATTCAATCCTGCCTCTTCATAATGAATGCTGCAATATGTATTTATAATGACCCAGATATACAGAGACTTTATAGTTAATTACTCTTCAGGATAAAATAACAGCTGCCTTACTTCTTGTTGCTGCTCTGCAGGTATAACCGAAGTAGATGGCGAAACTTCTGATTTGGGACCCTGTGCTTCCTGCTCACTAATAGAACTGGTCTGAAAAAGTGACAGTAAAGAAGTTAGATTAGATATCACAGATCTGATGAAATGTTCTCATGCCAACAAAATGGAATAAATTTCAAGGTAGTTACAATTATTAACTCACGGAAAAAAAAATAAAAACAATGCTGGTTTCTGTATGTAGTATACCACTTACAGCTAAATTCTTAACACTCAAAAAAAAAAAAAAAAGAAAAACAAACCCCTTCCTCAAAACAAACCTTGCTGCCTGTTGGAAAAACTCTAGAGCTGGAAGTACTGGAATACAAAAGCTAGTAGGAGGCAGCATAAATGCTGTAACAGCCTTCTTTTCCCAGCAAGACTGTCTCTAACCTCTCGCATGCAGGTATGGAATGCTGTCTGAGAAGCTTGGCAATTACTCCCTAAAACAGCTTATTTCTCATGGTAATAATTTACTACGCTAGGATTTTTCTAGACCAGAGCAGCCACCAATTCAGCCACAGGAAAAATTCTCAAAATGATACTACGCGGTCTTTTTTAAATTAAAAGTCGTTTAAAAATGGTTGCCAATTCTATTACAACCTTTATCATTAAAATAATCACGTCTATTTAATCATATCGTCTTCTATTCTACAGAAAAACGTAGGACAAACACCCATTACAAGCCTTCTATTCGTTTCACACTTACATTAGCATCTACTAATTGTCAGCACAAGGGGGAAGTATGCTACAATTCCAGAGCTAAAGAAGCTGGGTGTGGATCCAGGATACGCTATTACTGTACTCTGAGGACATCATGAAAATCATGATTAACAAACATCAGATTAGGCTTCACATAAATGATGTAATTAGCTCTAAAGGCAACGAGTAATGAATCATTCACTTCCCAGCCTGTTTAGACAGGAAAATGGCTCAGTTCAGTTAGCTCACTAAATATATTCAGACATTTGTTATTTTTGTTATAAATTGATTGGTAAAGCCGGGCCACTGACAAAAATCAAATTATACCATTATGTAATATGAACCATTTAAAAATGATGAACATGATTCAGCTTTAGCCATAATACAGAGTCAAAATACAAAGTAATAAGCCTGCAAAGAGGTATTAAAAAAAGAAAACTAAGCTAGTGCTATTTGGTAGGTTAAGTTATGGAAAAGTTAAGGAAGCAAAACGTTTACTAGTTTTAGAAGGCCATTTTTACTATGACAGGTCACAACGAAAAAAAAAGTAGACAAAACTACCAGCAAGAACTTACTTCTTCCCAAAAGGCTAGCAGAGAAGATGTAGACGAAGAAGAAACAGAATCCTTTGTTGTAATGGATATGAGGGATAAAAATGATCACTTATCACCCACAGGAAAACTTCAGATGGAATATTAGTAGGCTAGCTAAATAAAACGTTTCTATGGCCGAATGGTATTTACACAGACGAAATTAACCCAAAGCAGATGACAGGGACTATCTTTGTAAGTATATGTAAAACAAATTGTTAATGGAAGTCATTAAGTTCAGTATCAGGAATTTTAATGTAGTTCATCAGAAAACCACCTACGTTCCTATAGTGACAATATATATTTACTGCCCGATCTGCAGAATGGAATCCTGATTGGTTATGGACTTGATAGTCTAACATGTTACTGTTTTCACGCTTCTCTCTCTTCCTCCCACTCCAATATAGCACATCTCGCAGCTTCAGCAGAAAAGTCAGTACGGACATTTTGTGCCTGGAAGCAGCACGTACGCATGATACGCCTAGGCAAATATCATAGCAGGCCCACGTTTTTACTTTTTGACAACAGTAACAATTTGAAAAAATACAGGAAGAACATTTTTGAGATATAAAATCTAAGCAGATCAATGAGGTAAGAATCTGAGCCAGTTTAATTTAGTTCCATAAATGTAGCAGATTGTTCCTTCCATTTTCAGTTCTTGGTTTTATCCTAAACTGTTCTATTTGCTCTGCAAAAAAAAAAAAAAAAAAAAATCCCCCAAACTCCTTAAGGATCAAGAGTTCATGAAGTAAGGAAATGTAATTCAATGCTGCATTTAACAGCTGCTTCCTCAGGGGATGTACAAACTTTTCTACATGAAACACCCACTTGGAGCCATGATTTGAATAATTAGTTTTCTAAGGATCAGAGGGCGTGTCATGATAAAAATTACTATCCCAACATCTGTGGGTCCTCTGATTCTCTTCCCAGTTCCTTCTACTCTAACCACTCCATTAAGATCTAGAGCCAACATTTTTACATCTCTGTTTAAACACTATGAACTTTATGATAACTTTCTCTTATATTAACCGGTATGTTCCAACTGCAAAGCATTTAATCCATCACTTGTAATAGGGTGTGATATCCCTTTCAAAAAAGCTGAAATATACACTATTCTGTCAAGGAGTTGAGATTAACCTAAACAAACAAACTAGAACAAGAAATAATTAAAACGAGCTTTTGAGAATATTTCCCAAAAGTGCAAGCTTCTCTACAAAATGCTAAGCAACCTGACATCTACTGGACATCCAAGTCAATGCACTGTCATACTAATTTGACTTCCATATTTTACATAGGCCAGATCTAAATTTACCATATAGGGGCTAAGTGTTACTCTTAAGTAATAAAAATAGAATTCAACTGTCACATTTTTGTAGTTATTTTATGTAACAACTCACTCTGAAAGTCAGATCACGTGCAAGAGGAGAGGTGTTGAAATATTCAAAAATGGAATCTTGAAAGTCTGGAAGTTTGAGACCTAAAAATCAAAATAGGCTTGTTTAGCTAAAAGGCAACATCACAGGCGCTATCAGAATTCTGTTAAAACACAGTAATCTTAATTACCTGTATCAGTTCTGTATTTTTCCTCCAGCTTTTTCTTCAGATCTTCCATTTCTTCCAACAGTTCCCTGTTTTTTGCTTCTGATTCCTTTAATTTACTGAGACAATAAAACGTGATCAAAATGGGACCTGAAATAGCTCAAAGTACCTGGTGTTCCTTTCTGCTCCCATGTCTCAGAGTTCTGAATAATGCTTCTCCCCCACCCCCTGAAGATTTTTTTATTTTAGTCTGATTAATTTTATTTTTCCCATGAACAGGCATCTCGCTGCTGGGCCTGATAGTGAAAACTGCCCTTAAAACTCCTGCTATCATTGCAGGTATTTGCCAGACAAAATTATTCTAATTGTACCTTGGTCTTTTCTTCCCAAGAATATATCCATTCTCCAGCTTAGACTAAGAAAAGGTATTGAATTCGCTCTGAATGGGCTCTTATGCTATTTTTTCCCCAGGTGTATAAAAACCTTATCCTGTTATCAAGCCATTCACAGTAATGTAATGTTTACTTCAAGAAATTCCTAAAGTCCTCAATTGAACTTAAGAAAGAAATGCGCAGTCTGTTGAATGGAATCTTTCTGGCGAGTCCAGAAAGTCCAATTTCCCTGGCACAAGGGGGTAATTTTAAAGAAGCTGTTAAGTTGTTACTATTCTTACATGCAGTTTAAAGCAGCTCATTAAAACCTTAACAGAACCAAAGCCCTTATTACCTTTCGAAAGATATGTTTGCATCTTTAACTTTTCGTAGTTCTTCTTGAACTAGTTGTTTGGCACGAATTTCTGCATCAAGGGCAGATTGTAATTCCAGCCTAGCTGACATATCCAACTTCTGACTGCGTCGTACTTTCCAAAGTGGATCCTGTTGCAGTGAGTTACTGAATATTAATATCAGCTATCTAAAGATATTTCTAACGTTGTTCAAAGACATAAAATAGCTTTCACACTGCTTAAGAGAAGGCTCTTTTAATTAATGATAGACCCTAATCCTGCTACATGGAAATCAACTGATAGACAGACTTCATTTCATGTAAGTGAGGAAACGAGCAATTTTTATAACGGTCAAACCACCAGCACAACATGCTTGAAATCGAAATGCTTTAACAATGAGTACGAAAGTCAAACTGACAGAATCCAGTGAAAATGGCTAGCTTCATTCTTGCAAGCATTTAATATAAAACATGTCAACACTGACAGTGGCAAAAACATGAAAGAAATAGTCTGGGTTTTGAAATACCTGAGATACCTAGAGTGTTTACCTAAACAATTCTTACTCTTGCTATGTAGCAGACACTACGCTTCAGCATACGCTATGAAACTCGCCCCCATCCCTCCGGCTAAATTTTTAAGCTTTTCCAAGCATCTTCCTGTGTGGACTACATCCACACTGTGGACTATTCCCTGATAGATATCTCTCTAGTCAGGCATGAGCCTGCAAACTGCATTCTCATGAAAATGACAACCATTTCTTATGTTGAGAAATAATTACCTTAGACCAGGTTCTGCTGAAGTTACAAAAGCAGCTGCATTTGTAAAGAACGGACAGCATCCCTTATTCTGGTAACAGCTAAGAGGAAAATGCCAACTGCATTTGATCTGATCCTTCCTCCTATCATACCTCCTGACAGGTTAGGCCCTTCCTTTATGAAGGGTGTTATGGCCAAAGGGCAACTCATAGGAAATCATAATTTTCCCTTGTTTTCCAGTATTCACAGATTCAGAAAGGATGAGTAACTTTTTGCCCATATAAACCAACCGCAGATTGACTGTGTGACACTTCAACTGCACTGCCCAGCATTGCTAAGGATACCGGCTTCTGCATGTGGCTGCAAACGGTTCTTCCCTTCCTTAAGCAGGTATTTAGTACCTGCCACGACAAAACAGCATTTTTGCCTGTGCACTTCGGTGAGGGCTTCACCTCTCTTTCATTTGACAGAACGTTTGGGAAATCATTTTACTGCCTACATAGGAAAAACTACGTCACTGGGTCTCTTGGTTCTGCAGGTACATAAAAACACAACATGATCTCAGTGTGTTACTGGTTGGTAACGATACCGGCCAGCCAGTATTTGACCACAAAAGAAAACTTCTTTGTTGTCTCACTGTAACGGCAATTATTCGCTTACATCTCACCTCACCAGGTTAGATGTATTTCCATACTCCCCTTTAAGGGTTCGATTTATTGTTTCTTCTGCTCCACACTGTTTAAAAGCAGTTTGTGATGACGGATATCAGTAAGAAACAAGCCCCCCTCGGAATTACTAAATTCTGGTGAGGTGACCCAAGTGGATTTCATAAGCAACTCATAAAACTAGAAAGTTATTAGAAAAGCAGAGGCTTTACTAGAAGAGAGTTCTGATTGCTCACATGGTATCTTCCCCCTCGCCCTCCACATGAACAGAGATGGATAAGGAAATAGCTGGAACCAAAAATTTAGTTGTTTAGAAATCTCCCAAACAGGATGAATGCTTGCTCTTTACTTACCAGTGTTCTTGACCCCAGACTGGAACTTCTCAATGATTCTAGTTCTTCTGTCATCTTGGAAGCTAATGCTTGGAGATAGCCACGAGCATCTTTCTCATCACTTACCCTATTGTGCAATTACAAAAAACAGTTACTTGTTACTTTTATGACTCATAGCACCATATACTTTACCACCCAATATCAGAGTGTCTGCACTGTGTTTACGGATGTAAAGAGGTGAAAGAGCAGGTAAAACTGCCCCCGGGACAGAACTCTGAATACAGCCTAGATTGCCTTCTTTACATCTTTCTTCTCTCTCACGCTCTTCGCTGTGATAGTTGCTAGGGAAACTGAAGCTTCCCTTCAGTCATCAATGAGAATTCTGCAGAACTTCACTGTTATTTGGAGTCCGATCTGCATATCGCTTGCTCAATTCTTGTAGAGGCCACCTTCAAGCCCTTCTGTAACATCTGTAAGGGCAGGCAGGCACACCTTATGAATCCCTTCTCCCCGCCCCCCAACCCCTTCACTAGCTGAAAGGCGTTTTCAGGTATAAATACTGGCCAGCAACTAAAAATTCGTTTCATTAAAAACGACTGCTCTTCAAGGCCCACCCTGGAGTAGCATTCAACTTCAGCCAGCAGAAGAATTTCAAAAAGTAAATATATATAGGTGACCAAGTATCTCGCGCACTGAAAATACTTGCACATCGCTCACTAACTTAACAGACGACAGAAGGAAGGACTGACCCGTGAGTTAAGTGCAAGTGCTTAAGTGCAAGTGCTTGTCTTTGGGTAGATGGGAATAAGTATCAGGGAAGAAAAACAAGATCTCTCTGGGGGCTGCCGGCAGAAGAGCTAATGAGATTCTATATTTTAACATGCACCTTGTAAATCATGACCACCTTCCCTGAATGATTTTATCAAAATATTCCAGAAGAAATTGGGTGATCTAATTATCACTTTGATGCAAAGTCTGATGCAATTTGACACCAAAACTTAACAAATTGTCAGCTACTTAATAGTATCTGACAATTTCATTTAGTATCTGACAATAGTACTTGACAATTTTAATTTTCTTACTACTCAGCTCTACTACAAAACAAAAGAGGGACAGATTACCAACACGGAATGCTGTACTCTCGTTGATCCAGGCCTGGATCATACAAAGGGCCTGGCTACTGTACATAAAAAAGCACAGTCAATACTTCCAAAATCGGAAGTGGCCTTTAAACAGCACATACCATTGAATAATTTCTGCAATCTGAGCTTCCCAGTGAGCAACAGACTCCTTCTTTGCTGCTAGGTCTTGGAGCTCATCTTCTAGTTGCCTGTTCTGTGCTGTTAACTTATCCACAAAGGAGCAAAGCTGAAAAAAAGATTAATTTCACCTGTAGCTTATGTCAGCTTCAGACTTTTTTCATATGTGCATGCATACACATGTATAGAATCTGAACAAACAAGATGACTCTGGACTATGTAGAAGTTCTAACACATCAGCCAAAGAACTGGAAGATGGTCATTTTTGTGCAGGTGGAGACTGGCTTCTGAGCGTAGTAGAGTACTTCACACAAAATAATCCAAAACAGAAGAAAAGAAAAGGTAAGCGTAGAGGCCATTGTGAGCAATGAAGCTTAACTGTAGGCAACCAAGAAGGCAGTCAGCCTTTGTAAATGCTTCTCCCTTTGTGTAGCCTTCATGAAGAAATCAGAGAGTGATGCTCTCTGAGTTGTGGGAATGAATTCCACAAAGAGTAGTATACAGAGGCTACTGTCACTATTTAAGTGACAGATTAAGACAGATCTTTGACATTTATATGGCCAAAATTGTATCTGTTTTAGTCAGACACTGCCCGAACATTTACAGGTTCTGTTCTAATCAATGTGCAGACTATTGCAATATTAGAATATTTTAGAAGGTAACAAAATAAGAACTGTTTTGCTTAAAAGTGTTTCCTAAAATAATTACCCTCTCATTTTCTGTTGTTAGCTTTTTGTTATCTTCCAAGAGCATAGATTTTTCACGTTCGTATTTCTCTTTCATTGTTCCTACTGCTTCCTCCATCTCACTGTGCCTAAGGAGAAGGATAGAAAAGTAGAAAACACTTATACTGCAATACTGCTAAACTTTTAAACTGGGATTTTAAAAAAAGGACTAAATAGAACTGAGGTGAAACACCATCCGGCACTGTCACATAAGCAACGCAATAAAGAAATCTGTAATTAATCAGTCCTGCTCAAAAAACTTACCTCTCTCGTTTTGCTTTCTCTAGTTTATCCTTTAATATCATGATCTCTTTCTGCAGTGCAAGCTGATGGCTCTCTGAATCGTGTACTTCTTTTTTTACATTTTTTACTTCCAAGACATGTGATGCTTCTCGTCGGACCAACTCCTCTTCGTAAAATAAGATTTTCTTCTCCAGCTCAGACTTCATTTTGGAAAGCTCCTGCTGATGTTCTAGTGTGACACCTGCTGCCCGGCCCCCCTGCTTCACCTGAGGAGGAAAAGAAATCAGGAAGAAACTATGATTTTTATATTTTGGAACGTTATATAAAAGCGGAACTGTGCAACCGGCAGCACTGTGGACAAATTTTATTTGGGGGCTGCGTAAGTTAAAAGGTGCCTGTCTCCAAGCATTTAGCCCCATGAGTGACTGCTCTGCTTCACAGGGTCACAGAACGGTTGAGGTTGGAAGGGATCTTTAGAGATCATTCAAGTCAAACCCTCCTGCTTAAGCAGGGTCACCTAGACTAGGCTGCCCAGGACTGTGTTCAGACAGATTCTAAGCCTAGATTCTAAGACTAGATTCTAAGTGTCCAAGGGTGGACACTTCACAACCTCTCTGAGCAACCTGCTGCAGTGCTCAGTCACCTTGACAGCACAAAAAGTTTTTCCTTCGATTCAGCCAGAATATCCTGTCATTGGGCACCACTGGAAAGAGTATGGCCCCATCCTCTTTACTCCTTCCTTCCGATATTTACACTCACTGATAAGATTCCCTTTTCCAGGCTGAACAGTCCCAGCTCTCTCAGTCTTTTCTCATATGAGAGGTGCTCTAGTCCCTTAATAATCTTAGTGGCCCTTTGATGGACTTGCTCCAGTAGGTCATGCTTACATGTCCCTAAAAAGCAGTTCAAGTGGGTTGCAGAAATACCAAATTTGGACCATCTGAGTTTAACAGATGCTTAGGATTTAATATAAACTGGCAATTTTCAAGACAGTAGTGTCCACAATCTCCAGGATATTAAAGCATTTCCAGCAAAAAAGTAAATAAATCTGAACAGGCTAGGTCATGTTTCCAGTAATGCTCGAGTTCTTAAATGTCCCACAAGTATCAACATTTGAATAAGCAAAACTATTGCAGGTGCTGTGTTATGAGTAAAAATTTTTAAAAATACATGTAACCTTTAGAGCTTCCAGTTCATTTTCCAGCTGTTTGGAGAAGACCTCACTGTGCTCACGAAGCTTGCGTTCTTTTGATGCTTCTGCTGCAACTTCTTCCAGCCGGGCTTCCAACTACAATCACAGTAATTTTAAGTCATTTCGACACAAGACAGCGCTACCTGTATCATTTCTTTCTCCTCCTCCACAGGGACCAGGTTGAGAGCCTTTGATAAAAATAGTTTTCTCCTTATTTCTAAATTCATTACCCCACTATAACTATTATCTCAGAATGTCATGATAATATTTTGTCTATAGTATTCCAGGCATTAATCTGTATCATGCAGCACTACTACCAGGTGAGTTTTTGTATCCATGTAAACTATGCCAGGGCTGCTCAGCGACAACTGCACAGCTTCTTTTCAGCATAAGAGAAAGAAATGGCACTAGGAAGTCATTGCTATTTTGGAAGCAAGTCAGCCTCCCATGTTTACAGGTCAGCTCCGTGTCTCACCATCAATACCTAGTAAGGCTGCTTAAAAATCCTGATATTTGAACACAATAATTGTAAAATGCTTCTGTGTACCTTGCAAATTCGGAACAAAATAGACTTGACCGTACATTTAGCCACAAGCTTATATCTTGCAAATATGGAGCAAAACAAACTTGATCATGCATTTATCCACTTCAGAAAAAAAGACTTGTGTATCAGAAAGGCAATTTAGTGGCAACTAAGGCAACTGCTGGAATTCAAGCAACAGTGGCCCTGTTTTAAAACCTGAGAGGAAGAGTTAAGATTTGTTTTTCTGCATTCAAATTCAACTAACAAAACCGTTTTTAGAAGGATGGTATTTTGAATTGTGGGCCAAGATAAGGAACTTACAAACTGTGTTCTGAATGATTTAGTCTGTGTTATTATTCCTTTCTCCAACTGAAGAGAAAAATTAAATTAAAAAAAAAAAGGCAGTACTGTAATACTAAAGCATATAAAGATATTAAGTTTCCTGGGTTTCACATTGGCCATGACTTGGAGTCTAAAACAATCAAAACATGACTAAAGAACTAAGCAGCTCGGCATATAGCAAGAATATTGTTTCCCCCCAGATTAAAATCAAACTGATTACAAAGAAAAAAGAAAACTCAGTTAATTTCATGATACATTAACAAAACACTTAGAGAAAAATTCAAGATCTATTTCACGACCTGCATCAAAACGATGTGGAAGAGTTGCCAGGGCAATTTCTCATAGACAAAGTAAATTAAGGTTAATGCTCCTGATTTTTTAACACAACCACATACGAAAAACTATATAAGCAGCAACTGAAACATGTTACTATTATGTCAGGCTACCTCTTTTCTGATTTTCTCTGATTTACGGATGTCCTGTCGCATGGCATCAATTTTCTGCATGCTCACTTCTACCTCCTCCTCTTTGTCGCGAAGCTGCCGGGAGAGCTTCTGCTTTTGAGAGCGCAAGTCTCCCATCCTCTCACTGAGCTCAGAGGACTCCTGCACAGCTATCTTTCTTTGTTGATGGGCGTCCCTCAGTTCTTTGGATTGTGTCTTTAGTCTCTCTGAGGCTTCTACAAGTTGCTGGTTAAAAGAAAAAAGAAAAAAAAAATTGAACTCCTTATCTTCCTTCCATGAAAAAAGGAAGTGGAACCCACATAAGCATGACTTCAAAGCTGAATCATCTCACGTAACTTCTAAATTCTATTTCTAAAAGTTAATTTACACAAATTTCTTTTGGCTAAGCAGCTGCAGTAATGTATCAAGGTAGCAGTTACTCTGTTATATACTTGAACATCGTTATTTTAGAAAATTGTAAGGCAAACTTTTCACTTCTAGTTCTAGGAGCTGTTCTAGGAGCACCTTTGCTATTCCAGAAGTCTTTCTTATAAATCCGACTACAGAAGTTATCCTACTTAATGACTTCATTTCAGCTTACCACCTTATACTTGCACAATAATTGTTTTTTTTTTAAAAAGAATATTTTAGCAGACTGCACAGTCAGGGGAATCATCAAATATACTGTGCTGGCACTGAGATGCTGCCACATGTCCTGTGAAATCCTTCGAAAAACTCTGACGAATATTCCTTAGAATAACTGAAGCTTTAATACTTTAATTGAAACCATAAAAACTGTTTCCTTTACAGCAATAAATTAACATAAATTAACAAGATTAAAATATAAATTGAATGTTCTACATAAAATCATAGGAGGCTGAAAATAAAAATGGAAAAAGTAGAACTAAACCCCAGAGTAAATGTCCTGTGGCCAACAGACATTAAAAATTTCTGCCATTAGTACTGAAATTCAGGAGTATTCAGTAACTTTGAAAAGGGTAAGCGTCCAGACGAGGAGGAGGAGAATCAGCTGCTCTGCTAGTCATACCGTTGATGAATAACTCTTAGCCAAGGGTTTACAGACAAAAGACAGGCTGCTGAATTCTGGTGGACAAAAATTAAAAGTACCATCAAAAATACCCTTCTCGGATAGATGCCTCAAGGATTTTGTCCCACGGATTATTTTTGGTACATCTTAACACCACATGAGCAGTACGGGTACTAAACATTTCCAAAGCTAGCTATTTGAAAGCATGTGGCGCGCTCTGATATTATTTAAAATGATATGTAGTATATGCAAACCCACTATTTACTTCACAGTAAAATATTTTGGTGACCTGAAGTAACATACTAGCACTTTATAAGGAGCAAAGGTGTAATTTACACAACACTAAGTAAACTCAGCAATTACCTAAGCCATCCTCGGCCTTAAGCAGTAATTAAGCTTTTCTGGTATTACAAAGAGTAAGTGGGCTCAAGCTGGAGCAGCAACTTAGCTCTATTAACTCATTCATATATATGCTTTTCAGTCTCTACAGAACTCATTGCTAGTCACAGATCTGCAAATTTAACTCCTGTGTATATTGTTACACCTTGAGAATAATCAAAC